TTTTTTTTTAACAGTGTAAAGAGGTTTTTTTTTTAATTGTGTATATTTAAAGTCAATTAATTTTTATTCAAGGAATTCCATGTTGTGATTTCTTCCACTGTCCATCAAAGTAACTTTAGATCCTCTAAAGAGCTGCAAGTTAGCCCTAAAGAAGAAAAATTTTGATTAAAACTCTTACATGGCAACAATCATGGATTATTAAGTTTTATATCTCCTGGGGAAAACATAGCACCAACATAAGAGTGCTATGGCACCCTATAGAGAACTTCCATCTTTGGTCACAGTGTGAAGAGCTCTGGGTTTCACAGCCTCATGAGCCCTCTTTGAAATGACCTGGACCAATTAAAACTTTTAAGGATTTGTGCTTATACTGAGATTCTATCAGGTTCTCCCCCTCTATTAATTTGAAAGCAAAACCATTACATTTTAATTGAATGTTTAAAAAAATGAATTATTTCAGTGACTTGTTTTATTTGGAATTCCATTATTTCTTTTTCTGAATAATATAGTTTTCCAGATTTAAGTAGTAAAAGTCAAAGACTTTGTTGTAAATCTTTTTTTTTTTTTTTTTTCCCAAGATAGAGTTTCGCTCTTGTTGCCCAGGCTGGAGTGCAATGGTGTGATCTCAGCTTACTGCAACCTCCGCCCCCCTGGGTTCAAGTGATTCTCCAGCTTCAGCCTCCCGAGCAGCTGGGATTCCAGGTGTTCACCACCACGCCAGGCCAATTTTTGAATTTTTAGTAAAGACAGGATTTCTCCATGTTGGTCAGGTTGGTCTCGAACTCTTGACCTCAGGTGATCCGCCTGCCTTGGCCTTCCAAAGTGCTGGGATTATAGGTATGAGCCACCATACCTGACTGTAAATCATTATAATAATTGTATGCAATTATTATGAATCACAGCTTCCTGTGTCCACACCCCTTTGTAATGTGACATTTTCACTCTGCGCATCAAAAATTGGAGTTTATTTTACCACCTTTTGAATCTGGGATGATCTTATGACTTGCTTTGATCAACTGAATATGTTGGAGTACATTTTAGAGTCTAGGCTTTAGGTCTTTGCTCCCACTCTCATCTTGGAATGCTAAGACCACCATGCTATGGAAAAGCTCAACCTACCACAACGAGATGAAAAGCCACATGGAGAACTAAGGCTTCCCAGGCAATAGTCAGCACCAACTGCCAGACATGTGAGTGAGGCCATCTTGAACCCTCCAACCCTAGATGTATTCAGGGTTCTCCAGAGAAACAGAACCAATGGGATGTGTGCGTGTGCGCGTGTGCGTGTGTGTGTGTGTTTATAAAGAGATTTATTTTAAGGACTTGGCTGACTTGATTATAGAGCTTCCAAGTCCAAAATCTGTAGGGTGGGTTGGCAGGCTGGAGACCAGGGAAAAGCAGATGCTGCAGTTCAAGTCCGAGAGCCATCTACTGGCAAAATTCTTCCTTGCTCACGAAAGATCAGTGTTTTGTTCTACTCAGGCCTTCAGGTGATTGGATAAGGCCTACTCACATTATGGAGGTCAATCCGAGTTATTCAAAGTTCGCTGTTAATCTCATTGCAACAAACCCTAAGAGAAACAGCAGAATGTTTGACCATGTATCTGGGCACCATGGCCCAGTCAAATTGACACATAAAATTAACCATCGTACCAGTCAAGCTGTCAGATGATTGTAATTGAATGAGTGACCCCAGGTGAGACCATGAAAAACACCAGATGGCTAACCCACAGAATTGCCATAAGTTGTTTTTATTTTCGCCACTAAGTTTTGAGGTGATATGTTACATAACAAAGGGTAACCGAAACAGAACTACCTCTGAAAGTGTCTGTGGGTTTAGGGTGGGGGTTATGAGTAAGTGGGCATTAATTTTTGTGGATGCTATAATCAAGATATTATGTATGTCATATGCAAGTACAGTGTCAAACAAAATGTTGTATACATAAGTGTAGGATGAGGCAGTGACACACACAAGGCAAATTGGTTTGTGAATCCATTTATTTATTTACTCGTTCATTTAGCAGATATTTACTGCACGCCTCCTATACACCAAGCACTATTCTAGAAGCTGGGAAAACAAGACAGACACTGTCCCTGCCTTTGTGTAACTTACAGTTTGAGGAAAAAAGGCAATTAAATAAGCAATTTCAAAGAGTTTGACAAGTAAGTACAAGTTGCTGCTGACTACACCAATTTTTGGGATTAGGAAAGGCTATCTGGAAGTGATATTTAATCCTTTATATTTATTTAAATGAAGGATGAGTAGAAATTTAGTCAGGAAGAGGACATATGAAACTGTACGATGGGATTGGGTCAGGAGAGTACTAAAATGTTCCGGACAGAGGAAATATATGTGAAGGCTCAGAGGTGAGAAAAATCATGGTATACTAAAGTCACTACAAAAACTTCTGTAGGTTATATGAGGAGGCATGAAGCTGGAGAGTGAGGCAGCAAATCAGCAATTAAAAAAGTTTGCAGTTGTTTAGTTTGGAGCTGAAAATTGACAAGATAAATTCTAGATTTTAGACAAAAGCAATCCAACTTGTGAATGGAGAAGGATTTGAGAGGAGAAAAGAAATGAGCTGCTGTCAGTTCAGAGTATTTAAATGAGGATACTGGTAATGAGGACGGAGAGACATATGATTATACTTAGGAAGTGAGAGTAAAAGAATTAGGATTATTTCTTGATTTTCTTTTTGCTCAGACAACTGAGTAGATGAAGTCCTTAACAGAAACCAGGAACACTGAATAAATAGTGGAGAACAATTTCTTTGAGTTATCAAAGTGAGATGTCCTGTAGGTAGCTAGACGTACTGGCTTGTAACTCAGGACAGCTGCCGCGTCCTGTGTAAAAGGAAAAGCTATTCCTGGATGATGTCTAAAGCCAGATGACAGGATTTAGGGGATGGGTTAGACCTGCACTTGTTTTCCTGGAGAAGAGGCGGGTATAAAGTGGCAGGGTGACATTACTGTAAGATATCTGCATTCAAAGGGCTAAAAAAAGAGACAAAATGCTGGAAAGGCTACTTGTTATAAACGCAGCCGGGCAAGTTAAAACAAATCACGCAGCACAGGCAGCCAGTCTGGGTGGCTGAGGATAGACCCGGCGTGTTTTCGAGTGCACACATACACAAAAAGGAAAGGGCCCCTCCTCACCGGAAGCACAACCTCTGCCCTCTGGGGCATTACACATTCCTCCGCGCCGGAAGAATACGTCGCGCTGCGCCACGCCACGCCTCGCCTCGCCCAGTCAGCTTCCCTCTACCGTACCACTCGTGAAGGAGAGATCGTGCCCATCCCCAACCCCCTACCAAGAGCAAGCCGCGTGGAGTCGTTGGACTGGGCTGAACTTTGGCAGGCAAGGAGAGAAGCAGCCACACTGGGCTGCCGGGCAAGAAAGGAAGCAGGAAGGGTCAGACACACAGGCGTCGCGCCGCTGCGGAAGGATTCTGTTTCCTGCAGGGGGCGGAGGGATTTGACAGCACGATAACTTCCGGAAAAGTCCTGAACCTCAGAGGAAAAGCCCTGCGAGAAACAATAACAAACGGGAGGAGGAAGCGATTTTGGGGTTTCTGTGTTGAACAGTTCTCGTCCGCCAAGATGCGCTTCGGCCCGTGTCAGGGGACGTGAACAAACTCAGTGGGCTTCAGCCAGCTTCTCTCCACCTGTTCCCCACGGGGACCCCCCCCCCCCCGGCCGTTGCAATGGCGGGCGTGGGGCCGGGGGGCTACGCGGCGGAGTTCGTGCCACCCCCAGAGTGCCCTGTCTTTGAGCCGAGCTGGGAGGAGTTCACAGATCCTCTCAGCTTTATCGGTCGCATCCGGCCTTTGGCGGAGAAAACCGGCATCTGCAAAATTCGGCCGCCCAAGGTACCTCAGTCTGTGAAGAGAGAGCGGGAGAAGGAAGAATGGGGGAGTCCGTACCCTGGGTTTAGCCTTACTTTTCTGGTCCTTCTGTTCTTTTATATGTACTCTCCCTGTTTTGCGACCACTGGAGGCTGTTTCTGGATGTTTTTGCCACGGTTTCTTTTGTGGTCTTATGTAGACACATCTGAACGCGAGAAAGTGGTGTCTTTGGGCCTCTTCCGCCTAGAACTTGGGAACTGATACTTTTCTCAGCTGTGGGCAAGGGTAACGAAAGGCTTTAGGCCTTTCGTTGAGCAAAATGGTGTTTAAAGTACAGTATTATGACATGACATATTCTTCCCTCACGTATCTTCATTATGGTTTGATAGTCGGCTATCTCTTTATTCAAGACCTGCTTGGATCAAATAATTTGCAGGCCTTATCTCAGGGTTAGGGTTTCTCAAAAGGTAATCTGAGCTTTAGTCCCCCAGGATGGTATCGCTAGACAACAACTCCAGACTAATTATGGCTGCAGTGAAAAGTCTTACCGGGGGGAAGAGAAGGAGCAGCAATTATTCTAAAATTTAGAGGTTTATGAAGAATTGGTCTATAATGGAGGTGGAAGGAAATGTTGAAATCTCTTGACATAGGGAACTAAACATCAACGATTTTAGAATCAGTTATTGCAGATAATTAGGTTTGCCTGTAAGGTTAATTATAATCTCGCCTTTGAGGTAAGGAAAGCAGACACTATCCCTTGTGTGGAGGGAATTAATGCCCCAAGAGGTTGAGTCAATGTGCTCAAGGTCAAAAGGTGTTTTTCTGTACCCATTAGACCAAGTGCTTTTTAAATGACGTAGCTGGACCACTTGCACCAGGGTCAACTGGATGCTTGTTTAAATGCAGATTTCTAGGCTTCTGGTTGTGGAAGTTTCTGCTTTTCTAGCAACTAATCTTAGATGATTCTTCATGTAAGTTGAGGTTTTTGAACCATCGCTTTAGTCATTGCTTCTTGAAGACGTTTTGCTTTATGTTTGCAAGCCTGGATAAGTTAAAACACCAAATGTGAGATCTTGGGCAAGTAGCAGAGTATACTTTGAACCTAGATCAGTTTTTCTGATTCTAAAACAGACATAATGCCCTCACTATGTTGAATGAATTTGTTTAAGGTTATAGGCTATTCATTTCAAGCAGAGGATTAACAAATAATTGCTGTGATATGCAATGCCATCCTCCAAAAACTTCCAATTAACCCTTTTTCTATCATAATGACCTAATGTTAATATCTTAAGCATTGAAGGTTTTCCTAAATCATGTTTTAATCTACTCTTGAATTTATTCATTAGAAATTCTATTCAAGGTTATTCGATTTAAAAAAAAAAGTTTTTTTTTTTTTAACTTAAAAAATGCTGGAAGCTGAAATAATGCTTTCTCTTTTTATGTCACATTGTTGAAAATAAATCTTGTTTACACTCGGAATTTAATTTTAGTATTGGTAGTTTCTTTAGTTTCCAAGGTAAGGGTTTTGTTTTGTTTTTTTCTACTTCTCACTTTTTAAAATAGGTTTACTACTATTTAGGCCAAATCAAACTATGTTCTTTAGACCCCAATGTGAAATATGCTATCTCATTTTAGTTATATCACAATCTGAAAATTGTCCTTGTTTTGTGTGTTTGCTTACTTTTTTTTTTTTTTTTTTAAGGGTTTCCAGGAGGTGGGCTTTGAACAAAACATCTGTGTAACATAAAGTGCTCTGTCACATTACACATAAATTTAAAAAATTGTTTAAATAAATAAGTTCTTTTTCAAAGTTTCTTTTTAATCTTTAATTTTACCCTTTTTAAAAAATATTTTTATTTCTTTGAGACGGACTTTCACTCTTGTTGCCCAGGCTGGAGCACAATGACGTGATCTTGGCTCACTGCAACTTCCTGACTCCTGGGTTCAAGCAGTTCTGCCTCAACCTCCCAGGTAGCTGGGATTACAGACGTGCACCACCATGCCCAGCTAATTTTGTATTTTTAGTAGAGACATGGTTTCTCCATGTTGGTCAGGCTGAACTCCCAACCTCAGGTGATCTGCCCGCCTTGGCCTCTCAAAGTGCTGGGATTACAGGTGTGAGCCACTGCACCCTGCCCCCTTTTTCTTTAAAAAAAAATTTTTTTTTTCATTTTGGTAAACCTGTATGTTTACTAGACACTGCTTTGTGGTACATGACCTCAGTGAATTTCACTTGAGTGACTTCGGAAAGCATAAAATTGTGGGATATAAATAGTGGGAGTGGTTTGAAGAGGATTGCTTCTCTGAGCAATACAGGTTGAGTGTCCCTACTTTAAAAATTCCAGATCCACCCCCTTATAGTAGATTCATAGTGAGCTAAAAAAAAAAAAAAAAAAAATTCCGAATCCAAAATGCTCCGAAATCTGAAACCAGGTTACCCTGAAACATTATTATTCTTTTTCTTTTATAGGGACAGGTTCTCACTGTGTTGCTTGGGCTGGTCTCAAGCTCCTGGGCTCAAGTGATTCTCCTGCCTCAGCCTCCCAATGTGCTGGGATTGTAGGTGTGAGCTACTGAGCCTAGCTTGAACAGATTATTTTTTTCATTGTATTAATGGTATGTTATATTTTTCTGTTAGCTACTTATGTGGGAATAAGTGTAAGGAAATAATTGTTTATTGGTAGCTTGTAAATGCAGAGTCGGAAATGATGGTGATGCCAGACAACCACAGATTGTCTACACGGGTGGCTGAGATAGTGACACCTTTCCTTTCTGATGGTGGTGTACACATGCATTATGCACCAAATTATTAAAAATATTGTATAAAACTTCCTTTAGTCTACATGTATAACTTTATGTGAAATAAAAGAATTTTGTATTTAGACTTGAGTCTCATCTCCAATATATCTCATTATGTATATGCAGATATTCCAAAATATGGAAAGTGAAATCCAAAACACTTTTCATCCCAAGCATTTCATGTAAGGGGTACTCAACCTGTATTAAAATTACTTTATCTAAAATATTTGCTCATTTTGTTTCTATAATAAAGAAGACTTATAAGTTAGTCTATTATCACCATGATTTGTGGCAAACCCCCCTTTAAAGAAGTAAGTAATGCATTCCTTGCTTACATACCACTGTGTTTTGAAAAAAAAACTTTCTATTTAGGACTGGCAGCCTCCATTCGCCTGTGAAGTAAAAAGCTTTCGTTTCACTCCAAGAGTCCAGCGCCTGAATGAACTTGAGGTAAGTGTTATGTCACCATTTCTTCCTCCTGATTCATTCTTTATTGTTAGGGCTGTAGGTAGAGAACTTTGCATAGCGTAGAGTTTGTGTTAATTGGTACTGACTGGAATAGTTACTTGATGTTTGGAGGAAGAGTATGCTTTTTAAAAACATTGTGCAGAGTAGTTACGGTTTTTCCATTTAACTGAGATCACGAGAAACTATCTGTAGCTCTGTTTTTCTAGTGGAAATGTTCAGTGCTTAGCTTCAGAGACTTAGAATTCCTAAATTCTACTTTTTCTAGTGTTTCTTACTCTACTAAAATTTTTGTTAATCTCGGAAGATTCTGTCTCCCGTGGTTCTTGGAAAATGGATTTTTAAATCCTATTTTAAAACCCTAGTTTTCAAAGTTTTTTTTCTTTTGTTTTGGTTTTGGTTTTAATGGAACTTTGTCAGGACTGTTAATCTGATTTATTAAGATCTTCCTTTGGCGGGGTGCAGTGGCTCACGCCTGTGATCCTGTCACTTTGGGACGCCAAGGTGAGTGGATCACAAGGTCAGGAGTTTGAGACCACCCTGGCCAATATGGTGAAACCCCATCTCTACTAAAAATACAAAAATTAGCTGGGTGTGGTGGTGGGCCCCTGTAGTCCCAGCTACTCGGGAGGCTGAGGCAGGAGAATTGCTTGAATCCGGGAGGTGGAGGTTGCAGTGAGCTGAGATTGCACGCACCACTGCACTCAGCTAGGCAACAGAGTGAGACTGCGTTTCACACACAAAAAAAGATCTTCCTCTAAGTATTACTAATTTATCTTACGTTTTCTAAATAGAAGGCTATGCATTGCTGTTTTTCTTGTCTGCTGATTTTTAGAAGGTTCTTCATTGTGATATGAAAACTTTTAGAGTACAGAAGGAAAATCATTGATAGCAAAGGTTTATTATGTCATTCTGAGTTGTGTTTTTTTCTTTTCCCTCAAAACATTTCTGAGAGTTTACTACATACTTTTTTTTTTTTTTTTTGAGGCAGAGTATCACTTTGTTACCCAGATGAGAGTGTAGTGGTGTGATCTTGGCTCATTGCAACCTCTACCTCTCAGGTTCAAATGATTCTCCTGTCTCAGCCTCCCTAGTAGCTGGGATTACAGTAGCTGGGATTACAGTAGCTGGGATTACAGCCACCATGCCCAGCTAATTTTTGTATTTTTAGTAGA